AACCCCGTAACAATATGCGTTTTGTACTGCTGTTACACAGCACAAAACGCATAAAAAGAAAAAAAAGCGATATCCCAGTTCGATTCAGTTTCAAAAGCTGCCCAAAAAGACGTGTTACAGCTGAGCCAGACAAATGGGTCTCCAGATCGTTTGCCAGTTTGTGCAGTCCCGATGGCGGAAACAGTTTAATTACTGTAAACTTAATTCACATATGAGCTGTTAGAATTTCACGTACAGGGTACAAAGGCCAACAAATAAGCAAATCTATGATAATTACAGTTATTAGCAAAAATTGCGCAAAAACTAATTCGAATCTACAGCAAAGCAGCTTCGTAATTAGTGCTGCATGGCAAACTGTGAGAAATAATTTAGCACATCCTGAATCGAAACTTCAAGATCAATACGCGAGTTTGGATAACACTGACCCATCACTTCGTTGTAATGTTTTAACTGTTTCAAAAATTCATCCTGAAATAAAGTGGTGTTCATTTAAAAAAAAAAAAAACCAATGAACAGCAGTACAAAGTAGAGGGCAAGTGAAAGATGTTTTTTTTTAAACAGTACCATTAACGGGGCTGAACTGGCATACATGCTATAAGTGATACAAGTTCGGTCAACAGCTGCTTAAAATCGTAGCATAAGACCGAGTGAAGCTATGAGACTGTTAAACAGCCGCCGGTCGGTCAATGTACTAAGTTCGCCAAAATTTCAGCTTTGTACCCTATCTGGATGCGCAGTCTAAAATGCGTGACAAATATACGTGCATACATACACGCACACCATGGAGCGCGCCACAAAAAAGCACAAAAATTATTAGAAACAATTTCGAACTTTCCATAAAATTACAGCACGGCGATATGCAGAGACCGTCAGAGTTAACAAAAAGACTCTATAATTTCTGGCAAAAAAAAAAAGAAACCGAACTGAAGAAAGCCAACCTGCATATTCCTCCAAACCACCTGCAGCAATGGTGAATCATCAATAAGATGTTTTTCAATTTTTTTGTACAGTTGTTCCAAACCTTTCTTCACTTCTTTTCCCGGATAAAGCGAGATCACCTGCAAATCAAAATATCCCAGTGAACAATAATTAACGATGAAAAACCGAGAAAATCTGCACTATATAAAATGTCCAATAAAAAATCACCCTTTTCAGCTCCGCACGACTGTACTGCTGATGAAACGCGATTTCTTCCGGCTTCACACCCTGTCGAATTGAATTTTCTACCGATTCAAAGAAAACCTAAAGAAAATCCCATTACGTATTTCTACTTCCACCACATTTTGCCCCTTAAAAAGGACAGATAGCTCTTTTGGCTTAATCTCTCCAAAAAAAAA